CCACTCTGCTCCTCCCAAACTTCCTATATTCAATGAGTAAATAACTCAGCATAAACCCATAAATACCCCCAGGGTCAACCCTGGTCAAAGTCAAGGTCAACAATCCATATTGACCTTGACTCGTCGAGTACAATCAGTCACTCGTCGGGTTCCCTGCTTACTCATCGACTCGCCGAGTCACCCGAGGGACTCGTCGAGTTCCTTGATGTTCACGGCCGTAAACTACCAACCGTACACCCTTGACCGTGAACCCTTGGTCGTGAACCCATGGCCGTGAACCCTTGGCCGTGAATGAGAAAACCTTCTCGACTCGCCGAGTCACTAGAGGGACTCGACGAGTTGTCACGTATTCGGTTCTTTCCAGTGGGATTTAAGGTTTCAAACTTCAGATCCATACTCTCCTAGTGAAGATGTCACGTAAAGTTGCAAACTTTACGTGCATGCATAGCCTCACATGGCCATAACACCAAAACTAACCTTCAAAAAAGGTTTTAATGCATGGAGAAGGGATAATCTTATAAAAAGGTGTGACTTTATGATATTTGGGACCTAAGAAAGTCCAGATCTGGAACCATATCCTTGTGATAGGTCCAGATCTAAGCTTGCTTCCATTTCCTCAAAGTTGGTCTTAACTCTCCAATAGAATCTAGGCTCAAGGTAACAGATTCATACCTCAATTCAATGCCCAAGACGAACTAGATGCTAGATCTAGTGTTTTCCCCTTGATACTTCTTCTTCAAGCTTGGAATTCCTTCCACAATCCCAATATTTAAGCTCCCACAGCTCTTACTTCACACACCCAAGTGTTTGCGGCCGTAAATGATCTTTTATGATGTTAAGGGAGGCTACAAAGGCGTATAATGTCGTTTATATAAAGGGCAAACCCCAAAATTTTTGGTTTTCTTTAAACAGCTCGGACTCGCCGAGTCGGTCCCGTCACGCGTTCCATGATACCACGACCCTACTCGACGAGTTGATCTCCCAACTCGCCGAGTCCATGCATAAAACCTTTCCAAATCAAACCATGTGTTATAAGTCTCCCCCACTTGAACTAGACTTCGTCCCCGAAGTCTGCTGACCCAAACAAATCGGGGTAATGTTCTCGCATCTCTTCTTCCGGTTCCCAAGTCCATTCGGAACCCTTCCGATGTTGCCATTTCACTTTCACCAGTCTTACTTCCTTATTCCGAAGAACCTTCGTCTTCCTATCCAAGATGGCAACGGGCTTCTCGATGTAGTTCAAGCTCTCATCTACCTGAATATCACCCAACGAGACAACCGCATCCTCGTCTGTGACACACTTCCAAAGTTGCGACACATGGAATGTGTTGTGAATCTGGCTAAGCTCCTCTGGCAGATCCAAGCGATATGCCACCTTGCCCACCTGGGCCATGATCCTGAACGAGCCTATATAACGAGGCCCCAGCTTGCCCCTCTTCCGAAACCTGATGATCCCTTTCCAAGACAACACCTTCAGCAACACGAAATTCCCCACCTGAAACTCAAGATTTGATCGTCGTCGGTCAACATAGCTTTTCTGACGGCTCTGCGCGACTCGCAGCCGGTCGCGTACCTGTTGTATCAGCCCGATAGTATTAAGCACTATCTCAGTGCTTCCCATGACCCGATGTCCGATCTCATCCCAACAGACCGGGGTCCTGCATCTCCGACCGTATAACATCTCGAACGGAGCTCGATCGATACTGACATGATAACTGTTGTTGTACGAAAACTCTGCCAGTGGGAGATACGTATCCCAACTCCCTCCAAAATCCTACACGCATGCCCGTAGCATATCCTCCAGTGTCTGGATCGTTCTCTCACTCTGACCGTCGGTTTGATAAATTAACTGTAACATATACTACTTATTAACTGTAACAAAATCCTACACGCATGCCCGTAGCATATAGTACTTATTCATATATGAATAACAAATTAACTGTAACAAAAATCTGATAAATGTTTTATTCATATATGAATATAAAATATGACGACAACTAATACACGTTTTATTTATATATAAATATAATATGTGACGAAAGGTGATGTAAAAAATATATTTTAAGTAAGAAAACTTTATTACGTGTCATATTCATATATGAACGATACTTAAACTATAAAAAAAAGTTAAGCATACGTTTTATTCATAAGTGAATAACGAGTGTACTATAATAAAAATCTGATATATATTCACTTATGAATAACTAGAGTTGAAACTTAATTTTTTTTATTTTATCTTCAAACTATATATCAATATGGATGTTTATTTATAGACAATAAAAAATTATGAATTTTGATATATTTAAAATAATTTTTCAATAAAAATGGCTTTCTAAGAAAAAAACAAAAAAAAGTATGTTTTTATGTATATTAAAGTAATGATTAGAATAGTTTAAGGAAACATGTTTGGTTGGAAAACACATGTTTATCCGTTATCAATTTCCGACGGTACGCCTAAGTGTTTTGCGGCAAAATAAATGTGTGGCTGAGAATTATTCCCTCATTCTCAACATTTTTTTTTCTCAATTGAATCATTCTCTCTCTCTCTCTCTCTCTCTCTCTCTCTTTATATATATATATATATATATATATATATATATATATATATATATATATATATATTATATTATAAGAAACTTATATGTAGAGGTGGTAATTTATGACACGACACGAAAAAAATATACGAAACGAAACGAAATTAGGACAAAAATGAAATTTGAATTCATGTTCGTGTCGTGTTTGTGTTAACTGTAAAAAACACGATGTCGTGTCGTGTTCATGTTCAAAATTCGACACGAAATTGACACGATTTAGCAGTTCTTTATCGTGTTTTTCGTGTTTGTCGTGTTATATTTGATAAAATATTCATTAAATAAACTAGTTTTTAATATATGTTATATTTTTCGTGTCGTGTCGTGTTTGTCGTTTTTTGATTCGTTCGTTTTCGTGTTAGTTAAAAAGAACACAACATCGTTTCGTGTCGTGTTCGTGTTACATAAAACTTTGTCGTGTCGTGTCGTGACAGAAACACGAAACGATAGCACGATTTGTCACCCTAATTATATGTTGTTAAAAACCAATTAGTTCTTAGAAATTTAATGCCGATGTCAACAACTTTTACTAATTTATAACCGAAAGATTATAAGTTTTTTATTTATAAAAAGAAAAACAAGCTTTAATTTAAAATCATGAAGGAAATTCACAAATACCTTTTCGTACCCATGTTAAGTAGATCCAACAAGAGGTCGATATATAAGTTGAAACCTGGCTCGTGAATAAGATTGAGAATGGGCTATCTGGCAATAGGATTCATTGGAATTTGGGTTTTATGGTTGTAGTAGTCTGAATCTTGTGTGAGTGTATACTGAAAGTAGATAGAGATAGGGTGTATAGAAAAGTACCCTATCGGGATAAATATAAATTTATCATTTAGATAGGACGTGTTCGGTAAAACTAACTGATAGCGGGTAACTTGTAGCTTGTAGCGTTTTGGTTAACGCTACATGAAGTAGCATTTGAATTTGAAGCGTTTTGTTTAGACTAAACGCTAGAAGCTTGAGTGTCAAACATGACTTTTTGTTCAAAAAAGAGTGTTTTGTCAAACGTTAGAAGCTACAAGGTCCCAAACGCTCTGTGTCGAACGCGTCCATAGTCTATTTTTTATGCAGTAACGAATTCATGATTAAAATTCACTTATTTCCAACTTGAATGGACGACAAGATAACCGATTCAAAAAAATTTAATTATAAGTTCGACATGTAATGATAGGTATGATATTTTCCGCATCTTATATAAGTTCGACATGTAATGATACCATATATTATTTGAGAATTTAAATATCCTCCTCTATTTTTTCCTATTATATTCCTATCCACGTTAAAGGGTGACAAAGTGGATTAAAATATTATCAATTTCATTAAATGTGACACATGTCAACATTTGATATGGTAAGAAGATAAATAAAAATAAAATGTAGAAGAATATTTAATTTCTCATATTATTTTCTCTTATGTCATACAATTTTAAAGGAGTAAATAAAAAAATTGTTAACCATCTTCTAACCTCGTAATATATGTTACTATTAATATTCAAAAAAATTCAAAACAATCTCATATTTTCTGTTTTGTGTTGCTCAACACCATCTATAGGTGTCCATCTTGTTTTTACACTATGTATCCATGTATTTTTTGTAATATGTATGTAAAAAAGTTTTTAAATTAAAAGCGTTCATGGACAATTGGACACCTTGAAATATACTTAGATTCAACTAGCATAATCATACATGACATATTATTAGTCATAAAACCAATTTTTTTTACCATTATAAATAGTTTTTATATTATTATAGATACTAATATAAATTTATCTCAATCTTTATATTGTTGGTCATAAAATCAAATTTTTTATTCTGTTAGAAAGTATTTTTATATTGTTATAATATTTCTTTTTTACTTATATTAAACTACTGAAATATAAAGTTTTATAGAGGTTGAAATCTACAAAAATTTTAATAAAGTATATATCATATTAATATTATCCGATTTCAAAACTAATTAAATCATTGTAATCTTTTCTAGAGGTCCTCCATGGTAGCATCATGTCATCACCTAGTTTTAATACAAGGATTTAAGCCGGTCCTTCCATAAGGTTATACAACATGGTACCCTCAAAACGGTTTGGTGAGAGCTCGGTGTTTGGGTGGTCACTCAGCATATTTCCCTCAAGTGTATGGATGATGTGAGGTAGTAAGGTGTAGGAATAGTAAGCTAGATACCCTTAACTCTTGAGTAAATTTAATGTTACACTATGGTACACTTTATAACACCCAAGCCCATCCTTATAGCCCAATAACCTATTAATCAACTTAAAATCATAACCCACAACTCAAAACACAAAAAAAGGTCAGAATTCTTACTTTTGATTTATGTGTTACGAGTTATCAGTTCTAAAATTGTGTAGTATCAACCTTCATATAAACAATGCAACAAAATTCTAACTATGCCCTAACATCTAGCATCATAATAACGATTTCTTGTAAGAAAGTATACTTCACTCAAACCCATAAACAATATACATAAATCTTTCCAAATTAGGAAAGTCAACCATTCAACACAAGACCAAAATTCCCGATTTCATAAAGGCGAATCATTATGCCCATTAACCTGCCTTCTATTCCTCTTCAACATTTCCTTAATCTCAGCCTCTTTCTTGTCATAAAAATCGATCAAATCCTTAAAACTTGTGGACCGGAATGTCCGTCTCTCACTCCGCCTTGCGGATTCCGGTTCCGGAAGCTCGTGTGGCTCTTCTTCATCAGGATTGAATCTCCGGTATTGACATAACACCCGACAAAAGTAAATACTAAGTGAAATAAAACATGCGACCCCACAAATCAGGAATAGACCCCAAAAACTGCTTAATGAAAGACTGCTGACATCGATTTCTGTAACTTTTGATGAACATGAACTTGATGCGAGCCATTTGTCATGGATTCTTTGTAATTCCCCGTTTTCTGATAGTTGGAGAATTGCGGTTGATAAGTCGAGTGCTAATGGAGAATCCCTTTGGAATGCCTAAAAGCATTAGTGGAGTCAGAAAATCTATAAATAAAAGTTTGATTGAAATTTTAATTTTGGGTTGGGAAGGAGGCGAAAATGTTTTTTTTCATTATCTTTTTATATTATTGTGAGTAAAACACATTTTGGTCCCAGTGTATAGGTGAGTTTTGAAAATTTTGTCCTTATTTGAGGTTCTAGTAATGTTTTCGATTCATGATTCAAGTGAAATGACTTAAAATACTATGTTTTGTCCTTTAGAAATTTTGGTACAAAAATATAGTTATTTTACTTGGAACAGGAAACAAAAACATTACAAAAACCTCAAATAAAAAGCGAAATTTCAAGAGATTTTTGGGATCAAAATTGAAAAAGTCAGTAAACTCAGGGTCCAAGAATTCCACAAATTGATTGAAATTTTAATTTGAGGTTTGCACGAAGGAGGAAAAATGTTCTTTATATTTATTGTTAGAGAGAATTACGTTTTTGGTCCCAAAAAGTTTATCTTGAAATTTTGATTATTATTTGAGGTTTTTGCAACATTTTTGGTGCTTGTTCCAAGTAATTCGACTATATTTGTATGACAAAAACTGGAAAACTCACCTATACTCAAGAGACCAGAAATGGTCATTTCTTTTAACACCGACCAAAAACATTACAAAAACCTCAAACAATGACCAAAAATGAAAAAGAAAACTTATGGGGATCAAAATTGCGAAAATCAACTTTACTCACCGACCAAATATGGAATTTACTCTTATTTTAATATCTTTGGTGGGGTGAGCGATTGCACCTACTAAATCATCAAGAAGTGATGCGCAATGTCTAAAAATAGAATTCAAGTTTGACTTTTGAGGTCGGAAGAATAGTTTTCCCATGTGTGAAATTGATGGGAATTTGTTTTAAAAACCAATCATACTCTACAAATGAATGCTATAAATAGAAAGATGGCAGTGTGTAAATAGAAGCAGTATTCTCACTATTCCCATGAGGTGTAGTTTGACTTTTGAGGTCAAACGTACAGGTTTTCAACTACGAAATTGGCATTCAATTTAAAAAAAAAATATTAGATAAATTTGATGAGTAATCAAATTTCACAACCAATAGTACAAATATAGATATTTTGCTGTTAAATTTGTGACAAGTCAAACTACAAATTGACATTTGGGGTCAAACTCTTCAGTTTTAAACAACACCGATTCTTTAAAATTTTCATAAATCTTCGATAAATAATCAAACTTCAAGAGAATGGTCCAAATATTTCAGATTTCTATGTTTAATTAGTGACAAAATCAATACCAAAGTTGCTTTTGAAAAGTTTAAAGTTTGACCCAAGAAGTCAAATACAAAACTTAAAAGTTGAAAGAAACTTACAAATCCCCATCCGCTTTTGGTGAACTCCTGTCCAACAATCCTGAACTCACACTTTGTATAACTCATAAAAAGCTCAATATAAGGAAGCTCATCAACAATGGCAGCCACACCACCAAATTTTGGTCCAAGTCTAAGGGCATTTAGGTAATCTTCACTATCTTTCAACGATCTAATCCTCGATTCTGCAACATTAAGTTCTTGAATCAAATAATTATACGCAAAAGAGCCATCTTGAACTCCAATCGGTTCGTTACTTGCAAGCATGCCATCTAAACCCTCGATTCCAGAAGTCAACTGTTGAACGGTCAAGATCGAAGTCAAACTAGCTGTGTAACTTGAATTGATGATCAACACCACGAAAAGCCATAACAGTAGAACTAATCGCCCCAATGTGCTAACCGTGTTCTCCCCTGCACGTTAAAAAAGAATTTCACTTATTTGTTTTAGATGAGAGGGTAAAATGGTCATTTACAGATTCATTTGGTTTGAAAAAGAAACAATGGATAAAAAAAAAGCTAAATATGGGTGTTTTTTTTACTTAATAGAGGAAAAACGGCTTAATAAAAAAAGTTGGGGAGAGAATGATTTCTCCGTTATGTCATAACTTTTCATAAATTTGTACTCATTTATTTTTGAGTAAATTACAAAAATAGCCCCTGTGTTTTTTTAAAATTTACCTTGTTTGGTCAAAAACTGAAACTTTATTCAATTTTGGTTCTTATTTCAAGGTTTCGTATTGGTTGTGATCCCAAGGACTTTCTGATTTTGGTCTTTATTTTCGATTGGTCTTTATTTTCAAGGTTTCAGGGACCAAAATCGATATGAAACCTTGAAATAAGGACCAAAACTAAGAACGGTTTCAATTTTGGACTAAAAAAAGGTAAAAATCAGAAAGCACAAGGACCTTTTGTATTTCGTCTCTAATTTCACTTTGCATTTCCTCAAGTTTGTCCTCATTTTCTCAAATACTTTCTAAACATCATTTATCCAGACAACACAATACTTACTGTGTGAAAAGAACATTGTTGAGAAACTAAACCAGAAGATCGTAATAATTTGCTGGCTCGGGGGCCCACGAAACTCATGATTCAAACGATGTTCTAGAATCCAAACAACAAATCCAACAAGTAGAAAGAAGCCACCTGTCACGAGCCACATTTCAATGGTGAATGGCTGAAGAAAAGCCCATGGACTTGTTTTTGACTTTTTGACCGGAACAACAATAACAAGCCCAGATTCCATGTAAGGCTGAGTAAAGTCAACTATTCTTGTTCGGTTTGTGATAATTGTAACATCTCCAACTGCTGCATCATATATCTGCAAAAAAATAGCAAGTCAAATTTGCAGACTTTGACTTATGAGGTCAAAATTAAGAGCTCAAAAACTTAAAAATTGATATGGTTCCAATTCCAAGTTGAAAACAGGAATCAAAAGTATGATGCTATTTCAAGCAAGAACTTACATTTTCAGCAACAGCAGCCACAAGATTGCTATAACTCGGGTTCCTTACACCATCTCCATATAAAATGTACTTCCTTGGCACAGGGTAAGGTAGTAAATTCACAGCAGCATCAAAAACATCAATACTATACCCTCTCACACCTTCCGGAGACCTAACATCTTTTGTAACAACCTCTTTATAACTATGCCTATAAGGTACCACAATCCTTAAAGGCTTCCCATTGTTTGGGAACACCCATCCACGTGGCTTCACACTTGTTTCACCAGGCCAAATCACACTATAAAGCCTTTGAGCACTCGTAGAACTATTCGCCGGCTTTTTATATAAAGTCTCAGGAGAGTTGACCGATAAACCCGAGTAGTTTGACCAGTAACCGATCGTGCGGACCCCAGTCCCACCCATGTTTAAAACATCGTACGCCGGGTGTACTAGGTTCTTGTCCGGGTCGAACCGGATTTCGCCGGTTAGACCCGTGTAGTTTGTTGAGAGAAGTGTTTCTAGAAGCTTTTGACCTTGGTCAAACGTTTGAAGAGCCGATAACTGAAGGTGGGACCCGTTGTTATTTTTAAGTTTTGGGTCGGAAGAAAATGTGATTTCTTGGTTTGATTTCAAGAATGTATCGATCGCGTGTGCGAGGAAAAATACGGAATCGTACGCATAAAGCGCGTAGGAATTGAAACTGTTTGTTTCCTTTTCTTTGATGTTTTTCCATTTTGTGATGAAAGTTTTTTTGTAATTTGAATTTGGAGTGTGCGGACGTAGGGACAGTACACCCTGTACTAGTCCCATTGCGTCAGGATCTGGCGGTTCTTGCGAATCAAGAACCGCCAGAAGCCAGTCAGTAGTGATCCAAACGTAATCACTCGTCATCATATTGAGTTTTTTCGCAATGGAAAAAATCTGGAGACCCGAATCCGGGTTTACATGAACGACATAAACACGAGACTCCATTAAATTAACTTCTGTTAATAGCTCGCTTATGTCTGTTTCCGATGCGCCTGGTGTAAACGCTGCTTTGTAAGAAATCTTGGCTCGGTTCTTGGCGAGTGAATCGCCTAACGATGAAATCCCATTTCTGCCATAATCATCGTCGACAAAAATGGCGATTACTTCTTTGTATTCGAAGTATTCTACGAGGTCGGCTATGGCGGACATCTGGTAGTAATCGCTTTGTGTCATACGAAGGAAGTAAGGGTATTGGAGAGCTGCGAGGGTCGGGTCGGTTGCTCCGAATGAAATGAGAGGTACTTGAAGCTCGTTGACGACATGTGAGATGACGTGTGCGATAGTTGACGATTGTGGTCCAATTGCAGCCACCACATCTTTTTCCATTAGCTCCAAAGCTATATATCGAAATAGCGATTGGTTTTTTTGTGTTAATGGTATAAAACAATAAAAAGGTATGGAATTTACCCTAGAAAACGAAGAACAGAGCATTAATTAATTACCTTCAATGGTGCCGATAAACCCACTGCAATTTGTATCATGTAAGATGAGATTCAAATGGGTTTCTCCAAGAATGGATGGATTGGAGTTTATATCATCAACTGCAGCTATGATAGCAGGCTTCACAGACCTTCCGATAACTGAATTTACTGTTAATAAAGCTCCGATATTCACAACTTTAGGCCTTCTTGATGATGTATTTACAGTTATACCCTTGTCTGCCATGGCCACCACCATAACCCACAAACCAAAAATCAAGAAAAGCATATTTGTTTTCATGATAGGCTCATCAAGCTCCATTTTTGAAGATACCCTTTTGAAATTTGAGTCAACTGGAGTTGGTTAGCTCACATCTGGACCTGAAGGAACAGCTTCTGCAAGACATGAATGGTAAAATCTTGAAGTTTGGAAGAAAAATCAAGAGTTTCAAGAACAATCGAACCTAAGCCAAAGGAATTAGGAGATAAATTATTATTTTTTGGGACAAGAAACTTAATCCAGCAAAGGGTGGGTGCTAGATATGGATACCCACAATGGAAACCAGAGAATTTATAATTAAAAAAAGAGGAAGATATTAAATAAATTATATGACTTGAAAAGGGTACAGCCATATGATGCAAATTCTTTCCGATGAACAAGTCAAATATCAAAATGAGGGTTTTAAAAACCATGAAAAATTAATATCAAATACTCAAACAAGTGAGATTAATGAATTTGAAAAACTTTAATAAAAAGATTATTAAATTATGACGAAAGTGATGCTGGCGACATGGAGATCTACCTGGAGCTCTTGAGCAAATATTAGGAGAAAGGGAGTGGAGTGAGACAGAGGACGCGGGGGAGAGAGAAATGTTTTTGACGATTAAACCCGCCTTCATGGTTACCACCAACTCCTAAAGTTTATAGTTTATACCCTATTTTGATTTTTGATATTTCAGATGAAATTATTTATGAGAATTATCCTTTTTCTAGTTCTAATAATAATATTATTAAATTTTTTATCAAATCTTTATAAGTTATTAGAACATAATGTTTTTTTCCAAGTTAAAAGGCTTTTGAAAATAAAAATAAAAATTGTAAGAATTTTTCAAATAACTTGTTAATTAAAAAAATTCTTTGAATTTCTTTTAATAACATGATAGGTTTTATAATTTTTCCACCATTAAAAATATACAACTACACAAACAAAACATAAATAATCAAATTGAACAACTTTCTAATTATGGAGATACATGTAGTTTTTTCGGTTCGAGTTGTTTCATTAAAACACTAAAATAAAAAATTTTCCGTTGTCAGGCTCGACAGATTTAATTTATTTTTCGTAAATCACTATTTATGATAGATTCATGATCATTACTTAATAAGTTTGATAATGGTTTGTAAAACATTTTTCTTACTCGCGAGTGTTATGATGGGAAATTCAGGGTTTGTGGTGGAGATCTGGATACCGACTTGGATCGTGATATCACTTTCCGAACTGATATTTCTACCTTATGTCTGGGTTACAAGAAATTCAGCCTAGGATAATCCAAGTGGACACTTACGATTCTAGGCACAGAAATCGTAAGCCAAAATGCTAGAGGATTCTGTGAAAGTATGATCAAATGAGAGCTTAAGATCGTAACCCTCTTCTGAAAAGAAGAGCCGTTTATATAATAAACGATATTAGAGTTTTATTAGGTTGGGCCGTCCTTAGTTTCTTTGGAAGCAAGTAATGTTAATTCGGATTTAATGAGGATTTAGGGTTACCAAAACTAACGAGTTTCGTTAGTTTTACCATAAACACCCTCAAGAAATTGAATTTTCCACTATGGTCCCATATGTAAAATTCGGTGAGGTTTTGGGGCGCTGCCCCAAACCCCGCTAGGGGCGCTGCCACTAGACCACGCCAAAGGGGCGCTGCCCCTTTGGAAACCCCGGACCTGGGGGCGCTAACCCCGGACCCCCGACTAGTCGTCGAACCGCCTTCTAATTCGATCTTATACATGCGTGCACTCCGCACAACCCCGTACATATAATAGAGTACAAATTATGAAGCCCCTTAGCTCACATGTTAGTTTCAGTTACTTAAAATGACATGGTGACACTAAAATCACCAACAATCCTCCCCCATTTTAGTTTAACCCTTGAACAAACATAACCTTTATCAAACAAACCAAACTAGTACATAATGAAAATATCGAAACGATTGAATTTCCACTTAGTATCATACATTTGCAAATACTCGAGAATCAGGGTGTTCTAAGAATTGAACCCATCAACCCATTTGAATACCAGAAAGTAAAATACATACTAGTTTATTGAATTTCTAGCAAATTACAACTTGACACTATTATAAAGCCGTGTGTCCCAATCCTCTGATGATCGTATCAAGGTCAAGTCTACAACCTCTTGAAATGCGGCTACACTTCACAATCACGTAGGTAACTCCTTTCCATGTATCTGCACTGCACATACATTTATCAAAGGAATTATTAAGAAGTTAAACTTCAACCTGGCTAACATGAAGAACCGAACACATACCTGGGATGAATACTTCATGTGTTCCAATCTATAAGTATGAGCTTTCCACATTGAATTCAACTCCTAACATTATATTAGGAGGGAATTGGGTGTCTCATCATTATAGAATTAAATGGACTTTAATCCCATCCCGGTTACAGACTTGTGCACTAAGTCTCTTGCCAGACCTTTAGTCAAGTGATCTGCCAAATTTTGTTGCGATTTCACAAACTCAACCGAAATCACACCATTCATGATTAGTTCTCTAATCATACTATGTCTAACACCTAAGTGTCTAGACTTGCCATTATAAACCTGGCTATATGCCTTAGCCAAAGCGGCTGCACTATCACAAAGGATAGAAATAGGTGCTATCAGTTTAGACCACAAAGGAATCTCATAGACTAAATTCCTTAGCCACTCTGCTTCTTTACCAGCAGCTGCTAACGCAACAAACTCAGATTCCATTGTTGAGTTTGTAATGCAAGATTGCTTCTTGGAAGCCCAAGAAATGACACCTCCCCCAAGCAAGAATACCCAACCAGAAGTTGAGGAATGGTCCTCCATGTTGGTTATCCAACTTGCATCTGAATGACCTTCTAAAACCGAAGGACTTCCCATATAACTCAAGCCATAATCCATGGTTCCCTTGAGATACTTAAACACTCTATTCACTGCTTGCCAATGTTGAGCACTAGGATTACTAGTGTACCTGCTCAACTTACCCACAACAAAAGCAATATCAGGTCTGGTACTTGTCATGGCATACATCAAGCTACCAATAGCCTTAGAATATTCCAATTGTGAAATAGGAACACCATTATTTGGCATTAATTTCAAACTTGGGTCCATAGGAGTACTCACAGGAGAACAGTCGGTAAAATTAAACCGCTTGAGAATTTTCTCAATATAATGACTTTGAGTCATTACCAAACCTTTGTTCATCCTTTTAATTCTTATTCCAAGAATTACATCAGCCTCTCCTAAATCTTTCATAGAAAACTTAGATGATAACAATTTCTTTGTTTCATCTACTTGATTTTGGTCGGTACCAAAAATCAACGTGTCATCTACATATAAGCAAATGATCACCCCAACTTTAGTAGCATCATCAAATCTACTATAAACACATTTGTCACATTGGTTTGTCTTGAAACCAGAGGACAAAATAACTTCATCAAATTTCTGATGCCATTGTTTAGGCGCTTGTTTCAGCCCATACAAAGATTTGACAAGTTTACAAACCATATGCTCTTTACCGGGCATAATAAAACCTTCAGGTTGTTTCATGTAAACTTCCTCGTCAAGATCACCATTTAAAAAGGCTGTTTTCACATCCATTTGATGAATAACCAAATTGTGGATACTTGCCAAAGCAATCAACAATCTAATAGTTGCAATACGTGCAACCGGAGCATACGTATCAAAGTAGTCAATACCGGGTTTTTGTCTAAAACCTTGAATGACTAACCGGGCTTTGAACTTGTCATAGTCCCATTAACATTCATTTTCTTTTTGAAAATCCATTTGCAACCGAGTGGTTTAGAACCTGGAGGCAAATCAGACAACACCCATGTGTTGTTCTCAAGAATTGATGACATTTCATCATCAATTGCTTCCTTCCAAAAGGAACTATCACGAGACTCTATGGCCTCTTGATAAGTCTTAGGATCATCTTCAATACTATAGCAGTAAGAGTATTCAAGATTAATTTCATCTCTTGAACCTTCCACCAAATACAGTTGGAAGTCGGATCCGAAATTTTTCGCAATATTGCCTCTTTTGCTTTTACGAAGCTCTTGTGGTTCTTGCACATTACCACCATCTTGACTTTCTAAATTTCGCTCTTTAAGAGCACCAAAAGTCAGATCCTTAGGCCTTTGAATCGATGAAAACCGCATCTCATCAAAACTTGCATCTCGTGATTCGATAACAGTGTAAACCGAAACCGAATCATTAGGTTCTATTACATAAAACCTATATGCCTTAGAATGTTCAGCATATCCAATGAATATGCAATCAATTCCACGTTCTCCCAAATTCTTCTTTTTGGGCTCGGTGAGTTTTACAACTACCCGACATCCCCAAACCCGAAAATAACTCAAATTCGGCTTTTTCTTGAACCATAGTTCATATGGGACTGTTTGTTCCTTTTATTTGGAACTCTATTTAATAAATAGCAGGCTGTTAACATGGCCTCTCCCCAGAATCCTTCACTCAATCCCAAGCAATACAACTTCGAGTTTACCATTTCCTTTAAAACTCGATTTTTGCGTTCAACAATACCATTCTGTTGGGGCGTGTAAGGTGTCGTGGTCTCATGAATGATACCCACTGATTGGAAGTATATGGGATCCATATATTCACCTCCCTATCAGTCCCGAGACATTTAACCGGAATGCCCAATTGCAATTCCACCTCAGTTTTGTATATTTTGAATTTATCTAAGGCTTCATCCTTAGAATGCAACAAATACACATAGCAAAACCGATTGCAGTCATCAATAAAAGTGACCATATATTTTTTATTTCCCAAAGAAGGAGTGGAGTGGAAATCACACAGGTCACTGTATACAAGTTCCAAAACAGCTGAATTTCTAGTGACACTGGGAAATGGCTGTTTTGTCACTTTTGTAAACATGCATGTTTTGCATTTATCAGATGTCATATCAAAGACTGGAATTAATCCATCTTTTGACATCTCATGCATCCTTCTAAAGTTGACATGACCTAATCTTACATGCCAAAGCATAGATTTATCAACATTAGAAGTAGAAGATACAAATGCAGAATTTTGAACAGGTAATAATTTGTCAACAATATTTAAACGAAACATTCTATTATTTAAATATCCAAAGCCAGTAAACATTCCACCCTTAGACCAAATAAACATATCCGACTCAATAACTTGTTTATAACCAGCAGAATTCAAACAACTAGAACTAACAAGATTCTTGCGAATCTTGGGAACAAACAAAACATCAAATAACTTAATTGTCTTTCCAGAAGTAAATTCAAGACACATGACACCAAAACCACAAATAGGAATAAAAGAATCGTCTCCCATTTTCAGCAGCGAACCATCTTCAAGTAGAGTTAATGTTTCAAACATCCGTTTATCCTTGCATACATGGTTCGTTGCTCCGGAGTCGATCCACCAAGCAACGTCATCATCCTGCACATAGAATGATTCAGGGATAAATGAAACATAATAAACATAATTCTGATTAGAATTATCAAAGTTAGTCAAAAACTGACCTCCTTTAACTTGGTCCGAAGACCCGTTCACTTTCCCATTGGCTCCACTGTTTCCAGCACCATTGTTGCCCAAATTCACACGTCAATTGCGCTTACAATGCCCAACTTGATTGC